CTGTCCTGCTGGTTTGATTTATATTTTCTTCATTTTTCGGTAACACACTTCAAGCTGGGAATGCTGCCAGACTCTAAACTACTGGAACGTTCCAGCCTTCTGTGTTTGTCATGGTCCGTGGTTTCAATTATAAAAAGGAACTATAAAAGAAAAAATCGTGCGGCATCCTTCGACGAATGTTACTGAACATCGTTTAAAGTTTTGAACTCTCCGATAAAGCTCATACATATAATCATATTTAATGGCATATATAGTAGTGCAAAAGAAATATTCACATCAAAACTATGTTAAGAAGTACTGCCAAAGTCCCCAGAAACATTACTTGATTGATGGAGGCTATTTTACTTCTAGCGTCTACCCAGTATCTACACAGGATACAGTAAGGTATAAAGCTGGCTTGGTGCCCGCAGAAAAGGATATTGAGCTCACTCCTTGCTCACCTTCGTGACACCACCGTGTTTATGATGCAGCGAGGGGCTGTAGTGATGAATATGGTTCACTACAGGCCTACTTTAAAAGCAAGCTGCGAGCTTTTCACACCATTATGGGTCCTATCTGAAGGCTCTCCATATTCAAGTAGCTCTTTGTCACTCAGCAAAAGTTCATGTCTCGTGGAAAGTAACATTTGTATCAGTGTCAAATGTCCTGCGTTACATTTGTGAGTCGAAGATCACCGGTTGTTTGAAGTTAACTTGGCTTCCCAACCGACGGGAGGTTTAATCAAAATTGCTTCCCTGCAGTCACACCGCTGAGCGGTGGGGTTGAAATGCTGATCCCGGTGATCCTATGAGGTAACCGTAACGCAGATATTTCCGATTAGCATCCCCGTTAGGGCACAATTTCAATACTTTTGTGTGCGTATGTTGTAACGAACAGCTCAAGTTTCTCTCATATTAGGCAATCTAAGGCTTAGCAACAATCAAGTACAAGATTACACAAGGAATCCTCCATGTCCCCAGTGCAACTATGGCAGATTTGAATCACCTCTACAAGCACCCCTATACATGACCTTGATATGATTCAGCCTAAATAATAGGATTCTAATAGCAACGATTGGAGTAACAGGATTGCCTTAAGCACACTATCACCTGTGCAACTCTTTGAAAGTACTTGCAGCCTCCCCATGCAGAAACCTAACCGTTGATAGGTCTTCACCTCTATTTCACGGTGTGGCCCCCGCGGGGGGAGTTGATTCAAACGGAGCGAACTTCAACATGTTTCCTGACCAAATAACGAGATTCCTGGGTTAAAAGATAGGACCATTGAGGTATAGAACAATACGAGATACGCAGCTTGAATTGCAGCAGACCAAAGCATACGAAGTTACCTGAACTTAAATCCTGCAGATAGCATCTTCCCAGGGGTGCCAGATTTGGCAGAAGTTTAAAGGCTTTGGGGGGGATTTTTCCTCCAAGGCTATACGATGTGTTTTGAATGCAAGCGATGATCACGAAGAACAAAGTTATTCACAAGAATGCAGCAGACGTATCCTCTACCTTGCATTATGCCAGCTCAGAGAAGCAGAGCCGAAAAGATCGATTTTAGTGTTTAGAGTGAATATTCCTGCTCTATTTGGTAGTGTCGATGATGTATATTTCCAAACTTCTTTGTACATTTAGTAATCATACCAATGGTATATACATATCCTACTCTCAACCGCCCATGCAGTCATAACATGCTCTGCCCAGGCCCGCTGTCCTGGTGTTTTATGATGCCGCCAATCCGTTGACACAACATGGGGGATAACGACAATGATAACACTATGTAAGGGATTATCCAATTTGTCGTCCCGGCCCGGCTATTCAATAGTACTTCGTAGCTATCGGCACAGATGGCCATGGTGAACAATTTAACCCCTTTTCATTTTTATTTTACGAGAATTGTCCGCTTGGGACCAGCCGTCAACGATTTTTCCATCAATGATCTGGGTCAGTTTTGCGAGATGATCAGTTGTTCAGCAGAGAACTTGAGTTGCTTGATATATGTAATAGAATTTGATAACTTTTGTCTGATATATTTGGATACTTGCCACTTTCTTCAACAGAAGTATTATCTTATCAGTTAATAATGAATTGGTTTTTAAAACAGTAATCAGTCTGAAATGTTGTAATTGGTATGGACGTGTGCATCGTTTGTAAATGACAGCACATCTGGACTTTTCACCAATGACACACTAGCACTGTCTAGTAGGCTCAAACTTCTCCACTCGCCCACTACTTCACAAGAATGAATTATTGTCAAAAAGTGCTTCCCTTGTCTCAATAGGGTTCCTAATGATAATGGTAAATCTTCAAAGGCGTCGACGAACAGCATTCACATAATCTGCCCATTTCAACAAGGCACCAAATCGTCAGCCAAAGCACCGGAAATACATGACAAAGATAAACCCTCGAGTCATATCGATCTCCCTGGGCGGTTTTATAGATATTGACATATACACGTATAAGCACTACATTTTACAGCTTTACAGACTTTGCTCAATTGATGACAAATACCCGCGACATGAAAGTATGACTACTCTGAGACACAAGATCGTGACATACATGGGCAACTACATCCCACAAAAGAAGCAGCAATAGCTGGGGGGCAAGAACAACTATGCCTTATCGATTGAGAAGAGATATGATTGGCAGCTACACGATGAATAGGCTGGTCTGAAGGATGTAACACGCTGTACCTCTGTCACCTTTGGTCAGCGCTAATGCATGTAGTGGATTAGAGTGGATTGGATACAGGACGGGCATCAATGCCGGTCGATGCAGCAGTAGGATCTCACCAGTAGCGGCACCAGCGGGCTATCGCTAAATGACGGAAATGAAGTCTATTTGTGTCCACTTTATTGGGATGTCGAAATGTTTCGAGCGATGCACAGATGTGTGGCGAGCCCCCCATTGTGTGGTTAGATGACCAGAGCTTGAGAGGCAGTAGTTGTAGTGAACGTAACAAGGATTGATTTTGTGGGCTGCCTCCTGCGACATGGCTTGGAGGAAGTTACTGGTATTCACCAAATGTGATTTGAGCATTTTATGCTCAAACATCCCGAAGAAAAAACAAGTCATACATCACTTTGCTGAATATCACGACAATCAGCAGGAGTCGTCATTTTATAAGTTAGATGAGATACGGCAAGGAAAAGAGTTTGCATGCTTATAAGGAAAAAAACTTTGGCGATTGCACGTTTTGTGTTGGTCGAAGCTGTGTATTAGCCACATTTATGATATACATTTGGTAGATTTATATTGTACTAATATATACCGACTTTCTGATGGTTACGAAAGCATATTGCATCCATTTGTGATGTATTTGTACATACGCTCATCTATTACCGTACCATCCGTACAATCAAAATGCCCTTCCTTCCATCTATTCATCTGTACATCCATTCATTCACTCCATAGTCCTTGTAGTCATTGAAGCACACAGACAGACGCTGCCATAGTTAGGTATCGCTAGAACCAGCATGTCGATAGGGTTTAGTACGTCAATTCATTTTGTTTCTTCATGCATTCAGAAAGAAGCCAGGCGATAGATGGAAAGACAAATCCCGCTACTTTATCTCCGTTAGTGAAGATGAATCGTGGGGATCTTATTGTAGTTGCCCGCCGGTCCTACGGGCTCTAGAATCACTTTTAGCAGCATGCATAAACCAGAGGAAGTCGACATTTGAACACTTCTGCCGTGCATACAGGGTAATTGCAATATTGAAGAATCGAATATCTGTGATACCTCATCCCCACTAGCAGTGAAAAATGAATCAATAGTAAAGCGAAGCGTGTGAGAATAAATGAGAGAATTTTCGAGATGATAAAAACCTATTGTATTGTAAAAGTTTGACATCTTGTCGTATGTAGCATACGTATCGAAATTCTTTAGTTGGATGACGAGATGGGAGCTACACTTTACCCGGCTTTTTCACCACTTATATTCTGTCTGGCGTCTGCCAAAAATGATATACACTGACCTTATGCTCCAATTTGCAATGGAAAAGGTTTAATAAGGTTGGATTTAGCGCACGTATAGGTCAGGGTCATCGAGCATAAATCTGATCCAGCTCCTTTTGCCTGCTCAGAATTTGTTTAACGGAGCGTTTTGTCAATGGCTAAAAAGAGGTCGAACAACTTAGAAAGGCTTAGAAAACTCCATGCACAAATTTGCCATTGAATTGATTTTGGTATAACCTGAACAGCCAAGTACGTATGACAGATGTTTTCAAGGACAAGCGAGTATTGATTCTGCATAGAGATCATTGCCGTTTTGGGGGAAGGACAGGAAGTGGTCCACGAGTTAATGTATATGATTTACAATGGCAGAAAGGCATATTTTACATCACCAAGTCAGAGTAGGTCAAAGTTCTTCACACCAACAACTTTCATCGACGTGGCAGTAGTACTGATTCTTTTTGCGCAGAAATATTAAATAAAAATATACACGTGAAAGATATTCCAGTAGTAAAACATCAACATAAAGTTTTGATTGCTAGTAGATAGATGAGCCTTATTGTCAAGTATTAAGTATATTTTGTAAAGTTATACTAGGAACATCTTGGTTCCAATGAAGATTAGATTTAGAGAAGCATTGATAATTATAGATAGGGTACTACCCGTTAGCTATGTACCCCTCGACTGTCTTAAGCTAAGATACAAACCATGACTAATGGGACTCTACATTCTCACGAAGTCCACATTGTTTTTGTTAATTCTTGAAAACCTTTCTCACCCGACCTGACATAGCAGATCTCTCCAAGCGGATCCTAGGGTGGCAAAAGACAGTATCAAATTGGCCAGGCCGTATCCATTGGCCAGAGAAGGTCCAAATGGGCACCCAAGATTGGTGGGGGTAGCGACAAAAACGGGCCATATATAAAAAGGCAATGATCTTTCCCCATCAACTTTTGCTTGGAGAGTGGGCCTGACAGGGAACCTCTCAGAAATAGAAACTTTAACCATAGAGGTCACTATGAATTTGTTTAATTTTACTCTTCCTTCCGTCTGTATTTCCAGGATTACACCATTACTGTCTTCCTACGCCAGTATTGGAAAGATGGGCGCCTAGCGTTCTCCAATGCCAACCAGAGTCTGAGTCTAGACGGCAGACTGGCCGAGAAGCTCTGGGTTCCCGACACGTTCATCCCCAACGCGAAGGAGTCTTTCATGCATAAAGTCACAGTGGACAACCGCCTGATCCGGCTAGATCCGGACGGAGGGATACTCTACGGAATGAGGTTAGACAGAGTTTAGTTCTGATACCTGGAATGCTGTGTTAGCGGTACACAAGAAAGAGTCTAAATCCTCAGCCAATCTCACAGAATGAGGGTTAGACAGTGTTTGCTTTTGATTTCAGGGAAGTTGTGTTACTGATACTTTTGAAAGAGTCTAAATCTTCCCGGGCTCAACTAATATTGAGGAATGAGGATGGACAGAATTGCCTATGAGATATGTAGTAGATACGTTTAAAAGAGTCTAAATCTGTTTCTGAACTCAACCAATTTTACGGAATCAGGTTAGATAGAATTGGGTATGATTATCCTGGGAAGTTGTGTTGTCGGTACATTTGAAAAGTCTAAATCTTTCTCTGCACTTATTTTACAGAATCAGGTTATGATTCCTGGAATGTTGCATTATCGGTACATTTGGAAGCGTCTAAAACTTACTCTGCACTCAGCCAATCTTACAGAACGAGCTCACACTGAATTGGGCATAATTCATGGGAAGTTGTTTGAAAGAGTGTAAATCTGCTTCTGAACTCATCCAACTTTATGGAATGAGGTTAAATAGAATTGAGTATGATTCCTGGGAAGTTATGTTGTCAATGCGTTAAAAAGAGTCAACATATCTCCACAGATGTTCCTATTCCAGGTACTACGTGAGACCATCTTTGCTGATAGAAGTCGATAACAGAAGATGTCACAGATGACCAGGATAGTAAAAACCGACGAGATGCAGCGTCTTCCCCTTTGGACACGAAGCGTAGAATTGTACATATGTCGTAAAATTGATAAAATCATCTTACCGAAAATATAATGGCCGTCGGTGATCCCAACCATAGCCAAAATCTATAAACCCAGATGACATATCTAGTAAACTCGGTTGAATGGAGACGGTCGAAAGGGATTTGTCATGCACATTGATTGAGAGCCTCTCTCAGGATCCTGAAAAGTCCCATGCGTCTGTAGATGAGTTGTTTGGATTACCAGCCCCTCTAATGAAATGATTAATGTCGTAAAATTAATCAATAGCTAAGTAGTTGGGACCCTATTCATGTAATATGTTTAGTGACCTGATAACAACGGGGGGATCTTATTGATTTTGAAGTAAAATCATTACCCCATAAACGTGGTAGTGAACATGATGGTTAGGTGCTCGGTTGTATAGTATTCCTCGGACACTGTTGGTAAAGATGATGATCCCTTTCAACTGCTTGGTTTTGACTGTTAAAATCGATCAATCTGAAGTTAAGCATCTCCGACTGGCAGATCCCGGCAGACGTACATATCTAACGCAGCGTGAAATAGGGTAACCTGCTGGGCTGTAGAGCACATCACATATGTGCTAATCACATCATGATGGTTCGAAGATGCCATCCGGAAGATTGATCAGCCTCATAGATTTGAATGAAGTGCGCTGGGCGGAAGAATCATAAACTTCGTTTAAAAACTAGGAAGGACCCAATACCCAATTGTCTTCTCATTACAAATGTACATCATTATGATCGAATGAAATATTCCTCATATTTGGTTTTATAATACGCTCCAAGCAGAGGTTTATGCTTAGGCTTATTTTGGGCTCGTTTCATGCGTTTTTATCAGGCTTAGGCTTGGTTTTTGGACTCGTTTTCACGCGAACAGATGGAGTATTGAATACTGCCTTGCCAATTTGATACTTTATTTCAACCACCGAAAGATCTGCTTGGAGATTAGTTTTATATAAAGTAGTTTTATATAAAGTATATAAGTTTTTTTATGAAGATTTAAGTGCACAGCGTACCAGACATTCATTTGGAACTTTGCTGAGTCCTGTTGCAATTTCTTTCTAATTTGGTTTTCTAGTAGGAAGGATACCTACATATACATTGAAAGCGTGAAACGTGAAAGAGTATCAGCTTTTGATGTATTATAGACACAAAGATCAGAGTAGAGCAGAGCCGCAAAGAGCAGAGTTCAGTCGAAGCTAATGCCCAGGACAGGCGGAGTGAAACGGACTGCGTGTGCGCGATTTCTGGCGACTCGCCAACAAGTACAGATCAGAATTCATCGGCTCGTTCTCAGGACAAAGCTTCAATAGCTGCTGGACATGTAAACTGATAGGCAACATGGTTAAATCGTAACCCCACACTTTGATCAGACACTGGAACACCGCAGCGCCCGGTCTTTTAACTTGATCCGCAACATTCATGAAAGCATTGAAAATGGCTTTTGGTGTGTGATTCCAACCGTGTCGGTCAACGTGGGAAGAATACATGTCAGATTACTGATACATGTCAGAAAGTATTCGAAACATTTTGAAGTGAGTAAAGAGGCTCTTTTTAAACAACCAAGACTTGGTTGTGTAAAAAGATGAAACAATTCACGGGAACATTTTAAAGTTTCAGACCTCTGGAAAAACTTTGATATACTGGTTGTCCGTATTCTGGTTGAGCGGAGGAAGATATTGGACCAAGTCATGGTGCCCCAACGACCCTCAACGAGGTTAATTACAATTCACTCCATCATTTTGTGTGTGAAGAAAATTGTAACAGGCACGATTAAAAATTACGATTTTTTGAAAATGCAAAATTACTTTCAAACCAATTATGAGGAAGAACAAAAGTTCGTCGGACACAAACATTCGAGATGATGTTGTTTACGATATGTTTGTATCCTCTTATGCTATAATATAACGTACAGTGAACTAAATTTAAATTAAATCCATCAAAAGCATCTTGATACATAGGGGGAAGACACAGACCCAGACAAAAAGAAGTTTCAAAGTACAAAATTCTGAAAATAAGACATTGTGGCATTTCCTTATTAATCATGTAAATGGGATTGCATGGTTTAGATCTAATAATGTTCAATTTTTCAACTACATTCCACTGCAGCAAAGGTATTATGAGTTATACGGACATAACTAAACACAATACTCCTCCCGGAGATCACTGACCTACGTTCACACAGTAATGCAAAATTACTCGTGGATGTTTGAAGAATGTTTGGCAACGTACAAGCCCTCATGCGTTAAAACCGCCAGGTTCCATCAACTACCGTGACATCTGAAAGGGAGGTGGGTAACATTAGACCAGGCACGTGAGAACAGCTGGGCGAGCTGTCCTCACTTCCTGCCCTAATTGTCGCCAGATTGCGCCGCTATATGGTGGTCCTCAGCAGGTGCCGCGGCTCGATACACGGGCCATTAACCGCCTGACTAATTACCGCTGTTGTCGGTAGGAATTTATCTCCTCCGCATTGCAGTAACCAGATGATGCATCGATCCTCCTGCACCACTCATTTGTATGGTTTATGTTGCACCTACTAATGACCATGCGTCTGTTCTACCATTTTGGCCCCCCGAATTGTGCATGAGTGACATTGAAAAATTACGTTACACCTTCAAGGGCCCTGTCTGACAGAGTTCAATGATATTTCAATTCATGGTTTATGAATAGCATATGCTGGCGTCATGACAAACTGACAACCGTTGAACGCAAGGCTGGCACCACATTGTAAGAGTCACAAAACCTAGTCGTGAACTGTACTACCATTTTTGCATGGGTGACATTGAAAGATTACGTTACACCTCCAAGATCTGAGAGTTGAATGATGTATCAATTTACGGTTATGAACAGCATATGCACGCGCCATTTCCAAATGACAATCGTTGAATGAAGAGACTCCTTTTTTACATTACCAAGAAGTTTATTCATCCAACGTTTCGGTGACCGTCTGTCACCTTCCCTCTCTGAGAATTCATTGAGAACTGGCCTTAAGAAGAAATGCCTCTTGGTTGTGATTCCCTTTATTCAATGACTTACCGACCTGATGAAACTATTGAACGCAACATTAACACCATATTCTAAGTGCCACAAAACGTAATATGAAGTACGGATTGCCGTCGGTATCACCGGTATCAATTCAAGGTAGAATTTAATCGATATGGATAGTCTGACATACTATATGTCCCTGAACTAGAATCCAACCTCATTAGTTTGTCCGATAGCTCAGCAGCAAATGTCCCACATTTGCTAAAACTGGAAAGCTGGAGGAAGGCTCGATTTTTTTATTGTTATTGGGTGGACCAACTGCTCTCACTTCGCGCCCAGGGGCCGAGTTACGATGAGCTTAATTTCAAAGCAGATTCTGTGGGGCAAGGGGAGTCTATATTAGCCGCCTGTATCTTTTGCCTCCCTGAAACGTACCAATGGCAGCCAATGGTTACAGGCGGCCAATATAGACTCCCCTTGCCCCACAGAATCTGCTTGGAGATTACGATATGCTTACAGTTGATGGGAATATAACTTACTGTTGAAGATGACTACCATTTCGTAATGATATGCCTTAATATGACCTAAATATGTCTCAGAAGCGTCTGCAGGACTGTAGTTATAGTTATGAACTTCTCATGCCGGGACGGACTGCTCCTTTTTTCGATAAGTGTGTTGGGTTCTTTAACGTGCTCGAGGTGTGAACCCGCACGTAACGTCCTATCCAAAGGACGTTCCTACTCGAAGCTACATTTTGTAGGTACTTATTTTCACTTGAGTGAAGTGAGGAGATTCGCAGAAAGTGTCTTTATAGTTGCCAAGGGCACAAAATCGGACATGTGAGGGGAGTAAACCCATAACTTTTTTTTATTCTGGATCAAAAGTTCTATGAACTGTAGTTTCATTCTATTCAGTATCACCGCTTCTTCAGCTAAAAGAAGAAAGCTGTTATCAATTAAGGAAAGAAGTGCTGTTACTCCACACGATGCCAAATGATCTTGTTCCTTGGCAAAGGGGATGACATTTACTAAATATTGTGCAGGCAGGAAATCATACCAGTGAAATTCGCTAAGTGTTTCACCACTCCTTTTCCAGAATCACGGCAAAAGCTGCATGTGACATGGATTTGAAGAAGTATCCCATGGACTCACAGAACTGTACCCTGGAATTCGAAAGCTGTAAGTAACAGCAATTAGAGTAGCAAAAGCTTTATAATTAAATACTGCTATCTCGTGATCGCGTGAGCAGTAATTAAGGTATCATAAATAATCACTGGGTACGTTTCACGGTTATCATCAAGAGAAAATATTAAATTTTATGAGAAATCTTGTGCATTATTCTCAAGAACAATGAACAAGAAAGTTACCCAAACATTCATGAATTCCACGTTAACAACGTACAGCTTACCATACAGTGTGTATATGATTCTGAGCTGAAACGTCTTCACTTAACTTTGTTGCTTTTAGATGGATACAAAACAGACGACATTATATTCCACTGGAAGAACGGGAATGCGTCCATCTACGGCGTGGAGACTCTAAAGTTACAACAGTTCATCATCGGTGAATATAACGTCATAGAGGGAACGTCTAGATACGAGTCAGGTATGTTCGTAACACACAAATTTCATGGTACCATTTTGTACGGACAGACCCAGATGGCAGGAAATGGCCATTAATTGCCTTATTTTCGCTAAGGACAGTGTTCGTATTATGGTTTTGTGCATGGCTGTGCTGTAATGCATGAGAGTTTGTGACGTGCGAATGTGGTTCTAATAGAAATTATGTAAAATTCATTACATTCTGCTCGTATGCGGAAGCAATGATGGGTCTGAAAGGAATTAAAATGCCAAAGTTATAACGTCATTTAATGCAATCAGGTCAATAAGATTATTTCTTCACGCCTTTATTTATAAATTGCATGCTGTATTACAGCTAGCAAAAGATCTGCTTGGAGATTAGTTTTATAAAAAGTATGAAGTTTCTTTTTTTCTGAAGAATAATTAAGGAGAATTAATTGATACTGTAAAGTCATCATTTTGAAATGAAATATGCAAGATTGTAGTGAAATGTTGCATGACAAAATGTACAAAGATTAATAAACGTATTGTTAACAAATCATTTGTAAACATAAACCTAATGCTTTCCAGCTATGTTGAATGTCTGATCAGTGATGTCCATGTGTTTTGCTCCTCCCATCCCAACCCCAATGCCTCTACTGGAACAGAGGAAGGTGAGAAAACCTGAGCTGTGGACACTTTTTTCTGATGTATTGATTTTTCTAGTTAATGCTCTATTCTCGTAATTACGGATGGTGAAATACATTTCTTCAACGAACTGTTGAGTCAAGGTGTTGCGATATTAGGGTCTGGTTATTGTAGATTCAATCATAGACGACACCAGAAAGTTGAGCTTGACTCAAAAGTATATTGTTAACTTCATGTGAGGCGGAGTGATACAAACTAAGAAATGTGATCTAAGCTCCCTTAGGTATAATCTGTGTGCCTAATGATAAGAAAGTAGTACTAGGCAAGGCCTCTTAGGTATAATTATTTGCCTGATGATAAATATATATAACACAAGGTTTTAACATGAATGATCACAAATCTTATACCATATTTTGTTTGACTCTGACTCAGGACAACATTCCAATGTTCGCTTCTGCTTCAAGCTGCATCGCCAGGCGTTCTACTTCATCTTCCAGACGTACCTCCCGGCCACCCTACTGGTGGTCCTGTCCTGGGTCTCCTTCTGGATCAATTCAGAAGCTGTACCCGCCAGAGTCGCCCTTGGTAAGTCTTAGATCTGCTGAGACACCTTTGGTCCTATTCGCCACACTTATCAACGACAGACGATTATTCATTGCCGCTGACAACGATGACTCTGTCATGACGATGATCTCTTGTGATGCATGCAGTGTGTGGCAAAATATTTAAAAAGAACCCGTGCATTGTAATCTGCAATTGCAGACCAAAAATTAAAGGGAATTAGCTTAATAGATACGTAACAATGGTAATAATAGTATCTATTCGATGTTCTCACAGGTGTGAAATGCGCTATTTTAGCCATAGTTTGCATGAACTTTATATTTACAGGTATAAATGTAACATGAAATGTAACATGATATTTACAGGTATAAAATGTAACATGATATTACTTATTTCACTTTGGCATAACATCCAACACTCACTGGAAGACAATGAAATATTCAAAATACTGTCACAACTCGCAAAGATAACATCAATATGCGTCGGTTGCTCTAATGTTGATCCCAAAGATTTTGAATAAAGAACCCTTAGATATCCGACGAGCAGCTGCTGACGAGGCAACAGCTATTTTCATCGTCAGGGTTACCCCTTTCATAAATATTGCACTAGGAGTTCGGCCAACCAGTCCAACTGTTTGAAAGTTGCACCGTAGACCGCTATTATCGTAGACCGTAGACCCCGATGTGTCCTATGATCATTTACTATAGGATGCTCGCTGCATTTGGTAACGGTTTCTTCTTGAAAACGGCAGGTATCACCACGGTGCTGACCATGACCACACTGATCAGCGGCGCCCGAGCCACCATGCCTAAGATCTCCTACATCAAGGCCATCGACGTCTACCTGATCACGTGTTTCCTATTTACCTTCGCCGCGCTGGTGGAGTACGCAGCCGTCAACTTCCGGTCTTCCCGAGCCAAGGCCACAAGAAGGAAGATGTCAGTGCCAGAGCCGATTTGCCTCCAGGAGGTGACACGACATCGTGCTTTTTGTATCAGATATATTTCCATGACGCTCATTGTTGTTTATACGTAGTGGATGTTTCCTAACTACTAGCACACAGTATTTACTTATGTTTAAACTGCCTACCAAAATCATTCAATTTCACATATTGATCATTTTTATCTGTTATTTTTTTTTAATTTGGAGCACCCACTTTCTGTTTTGTTCTCATTTTGTTTTGGATTGTATTCTTCTTTGTCAGTGGTGAGGCTTAAATTAGCAATGTGCTAGAGTTGCCCACCACTGTGTTTTGTACTCTTTGTGTTGTTTAATAAAAAAATCAAATTAAATTTACTTTAAAATGACGTATTTCAAAACACATTGTTTGTCTTTTATACAATATCACTACATGTACAACAAATGTGGTGATTTGGATAATGACCCTATTATGGGGAGGCAGTTGGACTGAAATATGCTGTATTTGTTCCCTAGCAAATTTTGGCCTTTCTAGTTGCACATAGTATTTACGTATCCCAAAGTACATTATTTGTCTTTTATACAATATCACTACAACAAACGTGGTTATTTGGATGATTGTCTTGTCACTAATCGATGGACACTGTACCTAACAATTGCTCTCGTTATCTGAGTAGTGCTGTCATACCTCACTTGAACAAATGTGCTCATTTGGAAAATTGTCTTGTCACTAATTGACATTCTACCTAACAATTGCTCTCGTTATAAGAGTAGTCCTAACAACGTGCACGGCCATTTGCATTTTCAATCACAGGAAGGCGATGAGGTTTCCATGAAGAAACTCAATAACGCAGAGGCGGCAGGGGGATCGAGGGTTCACACGATCCTAGACATCGATGTGGACAACGGCAACGCTGGGAACAAGAAAGTTCAGGTCGACGTGGACACATCTGAAGACGAAGGGGATCGTCCCAAAAAGATGGGCCTTAGCTTCCGGAACGGAATGCGTTCGTTCATGAGACAAGTGTCACAGGTGCGACCTCTGTCCCTAGACCTTTTCATTCTCTGAGGTTTTTGAAGGCTAAAATTAATTTATCTGCCCTTATCTTTATTGTTGTTTTTCAGCATCATATTACGTTTGAAAGTAATGTATGTTCGGACTAGAATCATTTGTGTTATCAGTTTTATTTAGTTGTTATCTTGTAAATTTTTATCATTTGTTAATATTTTGTAAGTTAATTCAACTGTTGATTTAACGATTTTGTTAGTTACTTGCTTGCTTGTTTTCGTTTAGTTGTGGGGAAGGTTTCGGATAGATCAGATGGTCTCTGCCTTCCCACAGCACACTCTTCTTATGAATTGTACTGAAAAAGTAAAGGATGAATCCTTTACGTGCGAAATAAAGAATACATACATACATGCAAACGTCTCATGCTTCACGTTGTACATTTCAGGTGCCTCTGAAGGGCGGTGTTGCTGTGATTGACAAGTACTCCCGATGGCTCTTCCCGATAAGTTACTCTCTTTTCAACATTTTCTACTACGTCTACTACAACGAACCCTGGGTGAAATGGACGGCACCTAACTGATGCGTGTCGTCCCGTTCTGGGTTGAAGGATGGACTGAATCCGTTACAAAGATTCTCTCAGCTCGCACGTCTGGCTGGTCAGGACTGAGTATAAGGCGTAGACTAGAGCAAACTGGGATAAGGGGCTATGAAATGTAAATAGAAGCTCTTTTAACGTGGGCAACTGATCGCGACATAAATATAGACTTTAATTTGGTGTCCGAACCAAGTTGTATTAAGATTTAGTATATGATTAATGAAATGATTTTATCGTTATGATGATGTCCCAAATGGTGATTTGTTTGTTTGCTTCTTTGTTTGTTTGTTTATAGGTTGGTTGGTTGGTTGGTTCTACATGTAGCGAGCATGACAACTCAGATACCCAATGTTAAGGAAAACGGACAACGATGTCAAGCGCTAGCCAACCAAACCATCAATTGCAATGGTTTAGTTGTTAAGAAATGCAGAATTAGAACAATTTGTGTCAAAGCTAACAATAAAGTACACCTGGGGTCGGCTTATAACGATATTGTAGGTTTATCACATCGCAATGGGGATGTACGTTTACTAGATGGAAGAAAAATTTCTAGCGTTCGAATAACAGGTATATTTGTATTTAGAGCTCATGATGCTCTAGGGTGGTAATTAGAAGGTATTGTTGTTACTGATAGACGTGTTAGGCACAGGTTCTGTAAATAGATGGTAATATAGTGCTTATATGAAAAGTGCAAAGGAATTTTAACTTGAATGTCTATGACTATGCCCACCTATTTGATATCGTCAGTAACCTAAGATTGGCCGTTCCGGTATCAGTGGTCATTTCGTATGGGGTCGCTATGTGTCGCTTCCACGTGGTAAATGAAGGTCTTCTTTCATGAATGGTGACAAAGAGACATGCCTTCCATTACAAAGGAAAAGACAGCTACAGAAATCGAATTTATTTCGCAAATAGTTAAAGTATGTTGAACAGAATTATTAAGATCACTACCCCTTTTGTACTTCGTTACAGTCTAATTCTACCTGAAACCCTCTATCTTATGATTCTGATACCATGTAGGTGTATTTTACAAATGTATTGTGTCAGGGAGGGTCTGTATATACGACGTTGAGCAACTGTAGCTGCTTCGAATACATGATTTTATTTTGTAAAGAAAGGTCAGTCAAGCAGCTTTGTGTCGTCATGAGTGAAGAAGATCCTCAAGTGTACTCGACAAAAGTTTCTTTCCTTGTATATAGGCTTATAGATTCAACTGAAGGGTCTTACCAACGATTGTGTGCACGTTTAAGGAAGGATGTACGAGGTTATAGCTCTAGGTGTAAGATTTCCGGGACTGAACCCACATATGTACAACTTATTACCTGTGCCATTATGTATATACAAGACATGTGTGCCATTCGGGTTCAGTACTGTGCCTACCACTGAGTAGTAGTAAAAAATAGGTGTGAATCTATCAACACAGAATGGTTGTAAGTAATTCGATGGCGTTAGCTACTCTTGAGCACCACGCTATACTACTGTGTAAAATCATCATGTAAAAGAAAATATTGTTTATGATAATTAGATATGGCCTTGATGGAATATAAGATACATGTATAAGTATGTTTACAATAGGACGCATTAACAGATGCCAGTGAGCAGGCATAGGAAAGGAAGGGATGCGTTATATATACTGGAACTTAGTAAAATGGTAATCAAATGTACACATCCAATAAACAATAGTGTCATTCCATTCTAAATGTTTATTATTGGATTTCGAACTCTGTCATAGTTTTGTGCCCTTTGGCCCTAAGTACCTTTAGTACCTTTTGATACTTGGCGAAATAACTGGAGGACAATGTCAAACTCCATTTTGCTAAGGCTGTTCCTCCACAAAATGTACATTAAATGGTGACCTACATCAGCATACTGGCTCTATATCGTGTAGTGCAATAGCCACCCGCTAGTGGGCGTCTCTGTAGCGCCACTCAAATTGTTTTGGTCAATCTGCATCCAATGGTAAGGTAGCAGGACACAGTATTAATGGGGGACCCCCGGGTCGATGACGCGGTATAGAAAGTAGTGCAGCGAATATTCTTGAAGGCTGGGTAGAAAGCCTAATAAGAGTGTCAGCCAGATGTAAATTGTGCTGTGTGGTGTAGGAATGTATCGGGTTTGAGACTGTGTGATTTGAATTGTGAAGGTTTTGCAGTTCGTGTATAAATGCGCCGTATTGCGCAACTGGCTTTCCGGGTGAGTCGGCTGCAGTTCAGGTCACGTCCGTAGGGGGTGATTTCAAAGTGTAGGTTACGAGCAGATACGCCTACAGGATTTTTTGGTTTCTAGATATATTGTAGTTTGTACCTTCTTCTCAAACATATTCGATTTTCGTATTTGTGAAGTGCACCCTGCTATACTTTTTACTGCGTCGAAGTCTTGGGGTCCTTAACTATAGAAAAACCCCATAGGGCGAAAACTGTGGTCTGCTACCGTAACCTGGATGTCTATGCCGTGCAGTGCAAATAGAAACCGCTAGCTGGCGTGAATCACCGACTAAGCAATGCACGGAAACAGAAATGCCTTAGAAATGCAACTAGCTTGTTTCACAGGTGAAAAATATTCAAAGGCACTCAACATCGACCGACCAAATGATATGGTATTTTCTTTCTTGAACAAATTATCCACGAATCTCTTTTTTTTGTTTTATATACAACAAATTTTTCACTACAAGAAACGACAATATCACGTAATAAACATATAGGCGTCCATATTGATATACACAGATGTGTCCATTGTGTTAAACATGAAAGGAGAACGTGCACATATTCAAGTAGTTAATTACGTGCACACATGCACCGCGTCTGATATGTACATAATTGTAGAGCACTTTGCATGTACAAGTTAGGCAATAACATTTAAATGTGTCTATATATATATATGAAATAAAGCTTGTTAATAAAACAAAAGAATGGAACCTTCATATTTGTTTGTTTCATCGTTTTACTAACACTATACGAAGCAGAGAACATTCTAGCCCTAAAAGGAAAAGTGTCATAAGTTCATAACGTCGTATTCTATGTTGATTTATTTTTGCATTCAACATCCTCATTGTTCCAGTTCCGGTTCGACGCATTCGAGAGTCGAGTCTTCGGCGATGACATCTTGTCTTTCTAACTGTCTCGTCTCCTCATGCTCGATAGCATCACGGATAGCTACATCGTCTGTTGTCCCAGATATGTACATGTCTGTGCAATTCGTCCAGCATTCGTTCGATTCATAAACGGTTTGATCTCGACCAGTAGGCTCTGAAACCGACAACCCCTCCATTCCTGGGTTTACGGAAGCTACCTTCTTGGTACCCGATTTATAAAGTAAAGTTTCGGCGCCGACATTTCTATATATCGGCAATTCGACCTCAGCTGTCGCAGCATAAAATCTCACAGTCGAGTCCCCGTCATAATTCTCATGCTCTTCGTTTGGTGAGGTTTGTCCAGGAGCATTATCCATGTCATTTATTCCGTCGTATTCTTCCTTACCTTCACCACTGGCGTTCTCGTCCTTTATTTCGTAGTACTCGTGTCCCGATGGATCGTAATAAACTTCATCCTCATTTATTTGATTGTACATGTTGTCGTCTGTTTGACTGGCGTCTATAACTGACTCATTTACACCGCTGGCACCCTCGTCTTCTATTTCGTTGTACTCGTGTCTCGATGGGTCGTAGACTTCGTCCTCATTGATCTGATTGTACATGTTGCTGTCTGTGGTTTGACTGGTTGTATGTATGCTGTCTGTATTGGGTGTTCTTGTCGTGTTACCTTGGTACATTGGGTTACTCTGTAAGGCCTCTAAGACATTTATCATTGGCAAAGGGAGATTTCCCGCATTCTCCCTACTTCGCTTTTTCTTACGTAGCACAACAAAGGAATGAAACACATGATAATGATTTTTCCTGCTATTACAGAGCCGACTATTACTGTAACTGGAATCTTTGAGTTTGCACCTCCAGTCGCATTAGATGATGAATTGATTAGTGTAGAAGAAAATAGTGTTGATCTGTCTGTTGGATTCACTGTTTCTTTCTGTGTCTGGGGTGTCAATGTTACAGTTGATGGTGTGTTTTCTGATCTCAACATTCTGCTGTGCGTGTTCATTGATGTTTTCATGAACATTGTACTTGTTTCTGAAATGGAAATATCGCCAGACCTGACAGACTCCTCCAAACATGTCGTGTCTGTTGGCACGTTGAAGAGCAAAGATCGTTTGTTTTCGCGTACGATAACAAAACAAGTCAATCTCGAAACAGAACCTTTGTTTTCCGAACCTCCCGAGTTGGGAGATTGCTTTTTCTGCCATGTTGCTACAACGCTAACGCGCCCTACACTGGGGACAGTTGACGTACCGCTTGTTTCTACACCAAAGACCCGTAAACTGGATCCTCCTTTTAAATCTAGAGCTATGCCACCTGTCTCCTTCCATGCCTCTAAACATTGACTTGTGAGAGACGTGTTTACATGTTACGTGTTTACATGTTTTTCACTAGTTTTTGCAATGAAGACAAAGGGGGCAAAGGTGGCAATATGACCCAACAGAGACTCTTCTGGAAGCAGGTCACAATGCCCCAAGGGTGATACACTAGTATCAGACCAATCAATGACGAATGTTTTGGCAGTGCCATAATATTTGATGTGTAAAACAATACCAACAGCCTCAAATAGTATCCTGTATATATTTCTGTAACACGTTGCCAGCATCATGTTCCATGCCATATTATGGACAGCGTTTGCTTTGGAGACAAGTTTATTTCCACTAAGTTTGACTGTCCTTAGATTGTCCATATTCAGGAACGCTTTTCTTTCCAGACACTCTATGTCGTTGTTACTCAGGTCCAAATGCTCGAGTCCTTTCAACAACTCGAAGGCCTTAGATGGAATCGTTTGAATTTTGTTTTCACCCAAATATAGGTGTGACAGTTCGTCAAGTCCAATGAACCAGCGACTATGCACATCTCGTAAGGCGTTCTTCCCCAGATCTAAGTAGAAAAGATGGTTAAGATTTCGAAAACATCCCGAGTCTAATGTGGAGATGCTATTGTTTGAAATCGAAAGATGTTCTAGGTGATATTTATCCGGAGAATAAGAAGCGGTATGCCAGTTCCATCGAAGATGCGTTAACTTGTTATCATCCAAATTTAAATTTTCTAACGCTA